AAACGAAAGTCATCCTATCCTTCAACTTAATGACATGTTTCAATGAGACAGTGCAGATCCGTACGCGAAGAAATCAATTGGAAAAGGCCAACTCTTTATGTCATTCCGGAAACAAAAAGATTGCGTTGGAAAATATTTAACAATACAGACTGAGTATTCAACATGTCACGCCTGATAACCTGCCGTCTTCTCGGTAAATGTACTTCGCTCAACTACCCGATTTTGCATGTTAAAACTTGGCATCATACTGTTACATGAAGTTTGCACTTCTCATATTTAAAATCTTGAGGAAAATGAACGAGAACCCATACAACGGCAGCAAAAACTTGGGGAGTTGTGAATATTATCTCCTAAGCCCCCAGTGAGGATCGAACTCACGACCCCTGGTTTACAAGACCAGTGCTCTAACCACTGAGCTATGGAGGCTCTTGCTTCAGATTTGTGAAATTTCAACTCATAAAGCTAGGCCCTTTTTGCTCCAAGTGAAAAAAGAAATCTTACAAAACATCAAAATTCAACCAAGTGTATGGAATCGTCTGCAATATTGGGATTTCAATTTCTTTTAATACGACCCAGTTCGCACCACCACATTGAGGGTGGAGAAGTTTGTCATTATACAATCGAAGTCTTATCAATATGTCCACGTCACCTTTTCCAATTAGATCAATGAAATTGTCTGATATAAATGACTGACTTGAAACATCTATTTGACAAACAATCTTAACTCTCAACTTGCATTGGTTGTAACAATTGAGGTTATCACCTATAAGAACCCAAAATTGGTAAAAGTTTTTCATCTGGGGGTATAGCTCAGTGGTAGAGCATTCGACTGCAGATCGAGAGGTCCCCGGTTCGAACCCGGGTGCCCCCTTTTTTACTACTCAACAAATATTTTTTGGATTTACTGGATGAGAAAAAACGAAAGTCATCCTATCCTTCAACTTAATGACATGTTTCAATGAGACAGTGCAGATCCGTACGCGAAGAAATCAATTGGAAAAGGCCAACTCTTTATGTCATTCCGGAAACAAAAAGATTGCGTTGGAAAATATTTAACAATACAGACTGAGTATTCAACATGTCACGCCTGATAACCTGCCGTCTTCTCGGTAAATGTACTTCGCTCAACTACCCGATTTTGCATGTTAAAACTTGGCATCATACTGTTACATGAAGTTTGCACTTCTCATATTTAAAATCTTGAGGAAAATGAACGAGAACCCATACAACGGCAGCAAAAACTTGGGGAGTTGTGAACATTATCTCCTAAGCCCCCAGTGAGGATCGAACTCACGACCCCTGGTTTACAAGACCAGTGCTCTAACCACTGAGCTATGGAGGCTCTTGCTTCAGATTTGTGAAATTTCAACTCATAAAGCTAGGCCCTTTTTGCTCCAAGTGAAAAAGAAGATCCTTTGTTACAGACCAAATTACCTCTTTATTTCAAAATTCTGAGATGGAGCCTTTCAATTATATGGTGGTCCTAAAGTTTCCATTGAATACACAAAAACTGGGAAACAGATTTGGAAGATGTTTGGAAAAACACAGAATGAAATACACCATAATTATCAGGGACTATATTTGTAGACAACGAAAAATAAAGGGCGACAATTTCCTCTCTGTATAAAATTCAAAACGAAATGAATCTCTAAGATTTTTCCTGTTGAATAAGATGTCAGTATAATTTTTCACTAAATTGTAATTAATTTAATTTTCGATTATGCATAAATATCACGTATAGCCTTCCTGTAAATATAAAGTCTCAACAAAGCAGACCCGGATTCAGACCCCTCCCCCCTAAAATAAGAAAATAAAATGTAATTAATAGGTAAAATTACCGTCATTATTTGGGTCAAAATATGTTCCTCTAACTCCTTATTCTCAGGAGAGATCCCCCAACATCAATTCCCGGATCCGCACATGCAAAGGGACATTTCTAAGATACCAAGGGGACAATCATAATCTATAAGTCTAAGAAAAAAAGACAATAATATGAACAAAAATAAAAACATAAAGTCAAATAGCAGTCAACAAAACACAACAACAAAACTTAAGACTGAGCTACCTGAACCCCACCAAAATCCGTAGATGATCTCATGAGCTCCTAAAGTGTAAGCCTAGACTGCTCCATTAGTGGCACCTGCCATATTTTTCATGGCAAGTAAAATGTCTGTGATGTCGTAAAGTTTAGATCTCACCCGACCCTCATTGTCAACACCTAGGAATTAGTCAATATATGAAGCAGACATAATTGTTTCTGATGTATCTTTTATTTCAAGTTCAACGGGCTAGATTCGTTAACATGGTAGTCACCAAACTTTGATTTATCTCGTATACTCTACAAAAGAAGAAACGCTTAATATTTTATTTCAAAATTTTAGTCTATATACTTCTATTCAAATGGATTGTTTTATAAGGAAGTTAACTTTATATGGATTTTGTTATTTTTATTTTCTGTTTTATTCTTTGTCATTTATGTAGGAACGCTTGACGGAGTTGGTCCAGTCACTGAGGTGTTGGCGGACACGTCTAGCAAGTTCGTTCCAAAGATGTTCTATGGGGTCCGACAACTTTGAGGGCATGGCAATACATTAATGTTGTTTCGAGTTATGCAATAAATGTTTCACTTGCTGTATCGGATTGGGCATTGTCTTTCTGAAACATCTCCATTTGTAGGAAAATAACATTGAGCATATGTGGCTGCAAAATATCGTCTCCATACGTTAAGCCGTTCAATTTCCTTGGACACGCGCGGAATTTGTTCTGCGGTTGTTTGATATTGAGGACAACACCATTCAGCTTCCACGGTTAAATCCATCAACTTCCTTTACACCAGAAGGGTCAAAATGTTTTCCGATGCCTGTTTACGCGGGTTCGTCCATCATATATTTGGACGAGAATAAAACGTGACTCCTCTCTAAACGAAATACACCGTTTGTCCCTCGAAGCTCAGACCCTCAATATATGACACAAACGAATAAGTTCATGTCGGTGTACCTGGATCAAAACATTAACTCTAGTAATAGAATTTGGCTTTGACAAAAACCTGTTGACTGTCTGAGCTGAATTTCGTCGTGAACATTAGACAACAGCAGCAGTGGTTGTATCAATGACTATTCGATTATGTGGATGGAACATGCGGATATACCGATCTTGCCCTGGAGTAGTGATGCGTGGCCTCCCACTTCTATGGTAATCTTAGTCAAATAAAGTTTTATTAATTCTCTTCTAACGGCGTAAAATTATGCTCTTGGGAAACTTGATATGTCGGACGACTTCAGTTTGAGATTGTCCAGCCTCAAGACGACCAATCTTGGCATAGTGGCATTTCACATAAGCTATGAAAATCGCCTGTTTTACGTCCAAGCCAAAGTGTCACGATAGTTACACAGGGTGATTTTTTACACGGGTGATTTAACCAACTTTATACAAGTATGGTGAAATGTTCGGGGGACTTCAGCAGGTTGGGTCAATGAAATAACTGTTGCCATTGGACCACAATTGTATCTAGACTGCAAAAGTAAAAGTGAAATGCTCACAGTGAAGTAAAGTAATACCTGCTAAAAATGTGAATAAAATAGATAATTTCGTCCATGAAATACATACAAGTATATATATTTTAAAAGTGTACCAGTTGGTTTATATTTTTTTTTATCTAACTTCTGTTACTGTGAAGAGCAGAATAAAGCGAGTCAGCAATATGGTAGAAACAAACATTAAATAAAATAGCAAAGAATGAAAAAAAAAAAATGCGCCCTAAATGATAATGTCTTAACTATTAGACATGAAAGAATGTTAAACGTTCCCGAAAAGCTTTCGCTTTATCCGATCATTTAAAATTTAACTGGCTCATAAATGTTTTGCACCTTTTAAAAATGTAATGCATTCTGTGAAATATTTTTAAAAGTGTACACTAAAACAAATTCACCCATAGTTCTATAGATTCTGAAATGGTAAATAGGATTACCCAGTAAATAGGATTACCCAGTAAATAGGATTACCCAGTAAATAAAACGAAAAGGCTGTTCGTCTTTTTTTTTTAAACAAATCAAAATAATAGTACCTATATAAGCAATCATTTAAAAACATAGAAGTGAATAGTATGGAAAAATGCACCAAATTAATTATCATACACAAGAGAATATTTAATTAATTATTAATTTTGGCCTCTGGCATCACTTTAGAGACAACAATTTTAGAAATGCACATTTGGTGCAATAGAATCGATATCGGTTATGTTATTATAAATAAAAAGAACAGTAGTATACCGCTATTCAATAGTCATAATTCGATTAAGCAAAAACAAAACCGGGTAACAAACTAAAACCGAGGGAATCACATCAACTATAAGAGGAAAACAACGGAACAACAGAAACACTGAACTACAACAAAAGCAAACGCCAACATACATAGAAATGGACTGTCTGATAACAACTGCCATATTCCTGACTTGGTACAGGACATTTTAAGAAAAAAATGGTGGGTTGAACCTAGTTATATGGCTAGCCAAACCTCCCGCGTATATGGCAATGTTAAAAATACCGCTAAAATGACAACACTACGTGACAGGAATACAATACAAACAAACACAAGAACACTCAACACAGAGAAATACATAAATAAATAATATAATAGTACATTACAACATGAATTTGGATGTGAAGCACAAACAAATAAGATTTGTTGTCTCCGATATTTGGGATGGTTGAAATTATTAAGTTTGCGATATGTTTCATCCGTATTTTAATTGTGGAAATCAAGTTGTTTTTCATAAATATGTGTTCGAATATGATCATCTAGAAAATTTGTTTTAATCAAGAATACAAACATAATTTATATCTGTAATGGGTATACTAGGATATAAGTGTGTTAACTTCAGATTCAAGAATTTGTTTTTTAACAATAAAAAGAACACAACCGATAAATGGTCCTTCTTTTTTTACTTGGACCAAAAAAGGGCATAGCTGTAAGAGTTGATATTTCACCAAACTGAAGCAAGAGCCTTCATAACTCAGTGGTTAGAGTACTGGTTTTGTATTCCAGGGGTCGTGAATTCGATCCTCACTGGAGGCTTAGGAGATAATATTCACAACTCCCCAAGTTTTTGCTGCCGTTGTATAGGTGATTCCCCCTCCCCAATTATTTAGTATCAGAAGTGCAACTACATGTAACAGTGTGATGCAAAGTTTTGACATGCACATTCGGGTAGTTGAGCGAAATACATTTATCGAAAAAACAATAGGTTATCAGAAGTGACTTGTTGAATACTGTTTTGTTAAATATCAAATTCAATCTTTTTGTTTCCAGGATGACCAAAAGAGTTGTCCTTTTCCAATTCATCTCTCGAACGCACTTATCAATAGGAGGTTTATTTTGTGAGGTCCGGATATTTTTCTTCTTTTGTGAGTTAAACGCCAAATATTTGACAAAAATATTTTAGAAAATCTTTATTTATCAAAATTGATTGTAAATATATAAAAAAAGAATTAGTTGAAATACAGACTGTTTAACCTCGTATTCCTGCTATCGGTGTGCATGATAAGCGGATACGTTTAGGAGAGCCTGACTTTTGTATAAATGTTTAGCTTATTATCAACAAGTTGTGAAAGATGCACTCTGATAAACATCTATAGTAACAATGCAGAATAAAAAAAATTCAGCAATCGAAAGAGAAATCTGAAAGGAAAAAAGAGGTTTTTGCAGAACAAAATAAGTTGCTTCGAAATGTTCATAGACTTAATAGACTTTAAAAGAAAGAATGTACTATTCTTGTACACAATGTACCAATTATATCATTTATTGCTATAACTGTGATAGATGCGGCGGAAAATATATGTGGAGAGAACACAGTTTTAGCTATTGTACCAGTTGATAGTAATACTGCTTATGAAATAACAACCAATCCGGAAGACAGTGCATGGAAGTTAACAAATGAACTAAAGATTGATGATGAGAAATTTTACTGTACATTGCAATTTTAATCAAATTGTAGTATGTTTCATTCATCCTCTCACCAGCTTACATAGAAGATCATTTTTTTTTATGAAACTTTGGAAGTCAGAAATTGCTAAATTAAGTGATAACAATATTGATAAAAAGAAAGAAAATAGTGAGCGTCAAAGAAAATTGGTAAATGTTAATGAAAATGTGAAGCATGCTAAAATTAAAATCGTGCCGTCAAATAACAAAGACAATACTGATAATGAAAATGTTAACACCATCGACGTAAATGGAGATGGTAAAGGACAGTTAATGATTGGAGATAATACAGATGGTGAAATTGAGAAGATGGTCGATGATGATGATAATGATACTATTTTTAACATAAATGGAAACACTTGTGACGAGGATGGAAATGTGGTGAATGGTGTGCATGAGTTAAATGGTGATGTTTCTAGTTAATAGTGAACACAAAGGTGAAACATGCTACACAGAGGAACAAGTGATCAGTATTCTGGAGTTTCTCATTGACATCATGTTTGTTGAATTTGGAGGTAGACTTTTTCAACAAATTGTCGGCATTCCTATGGGAACGAACTGTGCGCCTCTCCTTGCAGACCGCTTCTTATTTTCATATGAGTCGGAGTTCCTTCAGACATTTGTCAAAAACAAGAAGATCAAAGAAGCCAGATGATTTAATTTCACATTCAGATGTATTGATGATGTTCTTTCCATATACAATCCAAACTTTTCTGATTGGGTTCCATTAAAATATTCACTAGAACTAGAACTAGAAAGTAAAGAAACAACAGACACGGCTTCCTCCGCATCATTTTTATAGTGTTCTTTTATTTTTCTTTGTAAAATATTAACGATTACTGTTTGGTCCATTCTTTTGGTAATATCCTTTAGGCGTGGCTCGGTACTTATACATCCCGCCATTGTGTTGTTGTGCTGTGGTCATTTTTTGTATTTTTGTGTTTCATTTTTGCGTATGCATGTGTTTTGTCTATATGCAATTTTGTTTTTCCTTGTTGACATATTTGTTTGTTTTTATAATGATTGAGATTATAACACAATGTTGACTGCTGTACCCCTATTTTTGACATTTATACCTATTATGTCTGTTTGTTCACACATTGTTGTCAATATAATGGGATTTTATGCGACTGTCATGCAAGTGGGAGGTTTAGCTAGCTTTAAAACCAGGTTTAATCCACCATTTTCTACAAAAGGAAATGCCTGTACCAAGTCAGGAATATGGCAGTTGTTTTCCGTTCGTTTGATGTGTTTGAGCTTTTGATTTTGCCAAATGTAAAAGGACTTTCCGTTTTGAATTTTCCTTGGAGTTTGGTATTTTTGTTGTTTTACTTTTTTCTAAGGCTAGTACGTCGGACGAAGACATGGTGGTAGATGACAGAAAAGATGAAAAGAAAGACAGAAACAGTCAAGGTACTTCTGATGATCGAACGATTTGAAATTAACACGATGAAATTGTAAAAAAACGTTGAGAGAAGATGGGCTTGCTCATACATCATCCCAAAATTCACCAATGAAAAGGAATAAAACTAAATATGTTCCTAATGTGAAAAATGTAAAATGTAAATCGCCTTATGCCAAAAACGTTAATAATGGATCATCTTAATACATATACTTTTTACTTGCAATTATGGGTCTATTTGTAAGTCATAAATCTAATGGTTTTAGAAGAAAGGCGAATATTAGAAATATAGACAAATTTTTAAAAATTACGTATCTATTATGTCTTAAAAAATGTAGATTTTATGTTATTTAAAGAAACTTTTTGGAATGACCAACTTCTAACAAATGTAAATTTTTTACGTAATGGTGATATTTACCATAGTGATGGGACAAATAATAGGCAAGGTGTTGCCATATTAGTGAAAACAAAATTTTGTGGAAATGTAAAACAAATATATAAGGATAACAATGGTAGATTTTTTCATTTACAGTTTGAATATGATAATCGTATCTATAATACAATGAATGTTTATGCGCTTAATATTGTGAGTGAAAAGGCAGAAAGTTTTGATTTTCTAAATGATTATATGAAAAATTTTGAAAAGATCATTATTTCTGGTGACTGGAATACATCACTGTCAAGCAAAGATAGATGTGTAGAACTGTACACAAAAATGATGTATCGCTAAAAAAGTTGAATGATATCATGATACACTTTTATTTTCAAGAAAATGGTTTACAATGGTGAACTAAAATATACAAGAATAGATTACTTTTTAATTAATAGAAATTTGTACAGGGTATATATTATTATGATCACTGTTTTGTTGAAATAAAGATGTATTTTGAAAATATTGAAAAAGGTCCAGGTTTCTGGATATTAATCAATACATTTTTGTATAATATTAGTTACATGGTGTGTTAGTGCCCTAATACGATATATATGGGGTCAGTAAATTCCATATGGAATTTACTGACCCCATATATATCGTATTAGGTCACTAGCACAGCGTGTAACGATTTTTATCTTATCGACTATCTTCACATGTGGTATTTAGACTAGCGGCCTATCAAAGTGATTAAATCTTCAATACTTAGTATTAAGAACCTACTTCCATTTATCTATACAAAAAATCAAATGCCAACAATGACAACTTGTTAGCTTTAAATTTGTTTTATGAATTTATTTCAATCGTTCATTATCGATTTTTTCGTGTGTTGAAACCTTTCAAATTTCTATTTTGTTTTGAAAGGGAAGTAACTCCTTACTAACCCCATATTTTTTAGGACACCCTATATCAAATATATGTAGTCACCACATGTAGTCCTTTCACCAATCATATCCCCAGAAATCTATAGGAGGAAAGATAATGAAGAATATGTCAAAAGTTAAAAACATTATTTAGGAATAAAAACAAAGCACACTTTTTACTTCAGAGTTTCTTATTTGGTTGGATAATTTGAAATATAAGATCAAGAAATTTAGTCAGGTATTTGGAAAAAGGATTCAAAAGGAAAAGAATGCAGAATATTTTCTATTGCAAAATAAGCTTAAAAGGATATATTCTCAAGATGGACCAGGAGAAAGCATTTGATAAAGTGGGACATAAATATTTTAGGGAGGTTCTTAAGACGTATGGATTCGGAAATAGATTTACATTGGATAGGGATTTTTTTATACATATATTCAAGTTTCTGTTAAAAGTAATGGGTTTCTTACTAGGTATATCAAAATTCAAAATGGAATTAGACAGAAATGTGCCATTAGTGCTCTTTTGTACGTGCTTTCTGCAGAACCATTGCAGTGTGCTATTCGTCATAAGTTAAATATTGAAGGTATTAGTTTCCCAGATAGTGATGAAAAGGCTATTATATTTCAACACGTTGATGCTACTACTCTTACATTGGGTAATAAAGAGTCTATAATGAAACATTACATATTTTTGAAATTAATGGAAAAGCATCAGGTTAAAAAAAAAATATGTCAAAATCGGAGATTATGTGTATTGGTAAATCTGAAATGAATGTATTAGAAAAACAGCAAATAAGGCTGAAAAACCAAGAAGACTGTATGTAGGTATTAGCTGTGTATTTAGGCAAAAATAAGTTACTGTGTGATGATCTCAACTGAAAAGATATGATCAGTAAAATTAGAATGCTAGTTAATTCATGGAAATAGAGACGTTTGACGTTATCTGGTAGAGCTACGGTAATATCCTCACTATTGATGTCCAGGTTATGGTACACATTAACAGTCTGTACAATTCCAGATTAGGCTTAACAAACAATCAAGAAACTATGTTTAGATTTTTTTATTGATTAATGGATCACATTTGATCAAATATAGAACGTTAATAGCAGACAAAATTTATGGAGGTTTGAGATATCCTGTTATCTATGTAAAATTATGAGGATTTAGATTGAATTTTTTGCCAATATTTTTAGATTAAGTTTTTTCATGCTATATGGAGATGTATTTTTAAACAAGAAACACCACACACATCTTGGTGTACATTTTTATTTTTATTGTTACAAAAAAACGGATTGTACTAACATACCTATGTTCTTATCGAGAAATGATTAATGCATGGCAATATTTTAAAACTAATATTGATATTGATATACGATCGGTTGATATTTTCTATCAAACT